CAGAGTGTAACAAGAGATACCGACTGAAGTAACTTTGGAGTGCAATCCACTCGACCAATTACCTCACTCGGATACCCCAATTCCATTCGACCAAGATAAAGTCACTCGACCATACAAGAAACCACTCAGAGTGCAGAAGACCTAGAGTCACTCAGGATGGCAACGGTCAGGCGTTCACTCCGTAGTCTTAAAGATCATTAATAGCTCTTTATAGCTGGCGTTACCAGTAACGCCCTGTCTTAATGTACATTGAACCCTGTAACGGGGGATGGCTGGGGTCCTGGCGCACTCTATATAAGCCAACCCTCCTCTGGCACAAGGGTTCGCACCCCCTGTAACACACACATCCATATTCCAGTCGACCGCCTCAAGGCACCGAGACGTGGGGCTTTTACCTCCTCCGAGAGGGGCCTGAACTCGTAAACTCGTGTGTACAACCTCACCGTAGCTAGGGCCTTGCCTCCTCATATGTACCCCCTACTCTTACTATCAGACTTAGTACCATGACAGTACCCTCGTAGACCGTTAAGCGGGAGCGTTTGTCAACGCAGTTGATGTAGTCGTGCACCTTCATGATCCGTCCTGATCAAGTACCGAACGTATGACACCTCCGCGCTCAGCACACGTTCAGCTCGTTGACGTCCTTGCCTTCTTGATCCAGTAAGATGGACAAAGTAGTAGATGAGTTCTGGCAGCATGATGGTGTGGTGACGGTGTTGGTGCTACTATCTCCGTAGGGCTTCACAGAGCACTACGAAAACTATGACCGAGGATGAACTGGAGGGAGTGGGGCGCCACATACGGCTTGGGGATCGTGGTGTGTGTTGCCCCTCTCCCTCCTCTCATATATATAGGTGGGGGTGGAGGTGGAGGTTGTGTGATGAAGATGGAGCATAGCCAGACTATATTATTTTGTAGGGATAAGCTTTCTTTGGCCATGTTATTTTGAGAAGACATTATTGCCTTGTTAGTATGCTTGAAGTATTATTGTTTTTATGTCAATATTAAACTTTTGTTTTGAATCTTTCAGATCTGAACATTCATGCCACAATATGTTAGGTAGCATTCCACATCAAAAATTCTGTTTTTATCATTTACCTACTCGAGGACGAGCAGGAATTAAGCTTGGGGATGCTTGATACTTCTCCAACGTATCTATAATTTTTTATTGTTCCATGCTACTATATTATATGTTTTGGATGTTTTATATGCATTAATATGTTATTTTATAATATTTTTGGGACTAACCTATTAACCTAGGGCCCAGTGCCAGTTTCTATTTTCCTTGCTTTTTAGCTTTGCAGAAAAGGAATACTAAACGGAGTCCAAACAGAATAAAACTTCACGATGATTTTTCTTGGACCAGAAGACACCCGGGAGACTTGGAGTGCAAGTCTGAATAGCCACGAGGTGGCGACAAGGGTGGAGGGCGCGCCCCCCCTACCTTGTGGGCCCCTTAGTGACCCCCTGACCTAGATCTTCCTCCTATATATTTGCAAATATTCCCAAACCCTCAAACGCATCCACGAAAAACACTTCTCCACCGCCGCAACCTTCTATTCCCGTGAGATCCCATCTAGGGGCCTTTTCCAGCATCCTGCCGGAGGGGGATTCGATCATGGAGGGCATCTACATCAACTCTATTGCCCTTCTGATGAAGCGTGAGTAGTTCACCACAGACCTACAGGTCCATAGCTAGTAGCTAGATGGCTTCTTCTCTCTCTTTGATTCTCAATACCATGTTCTCCTCGATGTTTTTGGAGATCTATCCGATGTAATCTTCTTTTGCGGTGTGTTTGTCGAGATCCGATGAATTGTGGATTTATGATCAGCTTATCTATGAATATTATTTGAATCTCTCTAAATTCTTATATGCATGATTTGGTATCTTTGTATTTATCTTCGAATTATCGGTTTGGTTTGGCCAACTAGATTGGTTTTTCTTGCAATGGGAGAGGTGCTTAGCTTTGGGTTCAATCTTGTGGTGTCCTCACCCAGTGGCAAAGTAGGGCTAGCGAGGCACGTATTGTATTGTTGCCATCGAGGATAAAAAGATGGGGTTTACATCATATTGCTTGAGTTTATTCATCTACGTCATGTCATCTTACTTAATATGTTATTCTATTCTTTATGAACTTAATACTCTAGATGCAGGCAGGAGTCGGTCAATGTGTGGAGTAACAATAGTAGATGCAGGTAGGAGTCGGTCTACTTGATACAGACGTGATGCCTATATTGCATAATCATTGCCTTGGATATCGTAATAACTTTGCACTTTTCTATTAATTGCTCGACAGTAATTTGTTCACCCACCGTATTATTTGCCTTCATGGGAGAAGCCTCTAGTGAAACCTATTGCCCCGGGTGTATTTTCCATCATATTAGTTTTCGATCTACTATTTTCCATCATATTAGTTTCCGATCTACTATTTTGCAATCTTTTATTTCAGATCTATAAACCAAAAAACCCAAAAATATTCTATCTTTTGTTTATCTATCTCTATCAGATCTCACTTTTGCAAGTAACCGTGAAGGGGTTGACAACCCCTTTATCGCGTTGGGTGTAAGTTGTTTGACTGTTTGTGTAGGTATTGGTGATTTGTGCGTTCTTCTCCTACTGGATTGATACCTTGTTTCTCAAACTGAGGGAAATACTTATCTCTACTTTGTTGCATCACCCTTTCCTCTTCAAGGGAAAAACCAACGCAAGCTGAAGAAGTAGCAGGGAACCGGACTGACCACCATGTCACCACGCATCTTTTGATCGGCCGGGCCTAGATCAACCGTCATGCCCTGCGGGAGGTAGGGGATGAAGTTGAGAGGGAAGTTCTCCATGACCGATGCAGGTGGAGGTTTCGAGAGCAGAGCAGGGGAGCGCACAATGGAAGAATGCGAATCGGCAGCAGCACACCCACCCTTGGGGACCCAGACCCCTTGCTGAGAATGGAATAGACGGAAGCAGGGTGTTGCCGCGTGTTCCAAGAATCCACAAAAAGTGCATCAGACGGTAGACGAGCATTTGCGGTGGTAGGCTGGTAAGTTGGCAGGCGAATAATTGCTTTGATGTTGATTGATCTGATGGTGCGGAGACCCAGAATTGACCATATTCTGCTTTACTTGCCTGTGCTACATATGTTTATCCTTGGAAGGAGTATGGCAAATCATCCATGATATCCAATGTTTCTCCAAGTAATCCTTAAGAGGTGGTACCGAGAATTTCGTGGAGAGATTTTGAGAAGTATCCATAACTACTCGAATTAGATGAGCAGGCCATATCCAAATGGACTTTGGGCTTCCACATCAGATGAAGGGCGGATCTCTGCAATTGTCGTATGATGACCCAATAGATTGCATTTGGCACATTTCATATGGGTTGGGCAGTCGAAAAAAGGGTGGGTTAAGGACCCATGGAAGGAGCAGACCGGCTTATTATGTGGGGAACATTGTGTGGAGTCACGAGGCGATGTAGATTGACACGTGCAGATACAGTCATAACAAATCATGTAGTACGTACCAGGGCATTGGGCGGCAAGGTGTCCAACGTCACCACAATTGGAGCATAAATTGAGCCTTTCATAGATAAAGCTTGATGAGGGTACAATATGAAGGTCCCAGATTTCAGCAATTCTTTGGTCAGAGTAGCCCACTTTCTGAAAGTCCAAAATATGATGAAGCAAGAATTGTGGCAAGGAGTTCCAATTTTCCCTCTTAAACCGTCAACCTTCAAAACGCCAATTATGATTCCTAAAGGTGTCATTAAATGCTGATTGAAATGTGCTAAAGACCAGCCTAAAGTGTAGTGAATTATGGCATGATTCCATGAATGGCTCCTTACCCAAAACGGGACCGGGTGTGTGGTCCAAAGAATTGCCGGTCGCCGCCGGTGAGGATTCCGGTAGTGGCTCCGACCGAGACCTGTGATGAACATCCCTCTGGAGACCAAATTTGGAAAGCTCATAGGAAATTGGCTCAACTTCATGATCCCGAATTAAGAAATACAAATTTGGCTTTATCGCAATCGAAGAACGAGCAGAAATCTCAGGAATCTAAGCGTCAGCATGCCACAAAGAACTCTGAATGAAAGGACCAAGAATACCAGGACGGAATAGTTGAAAATGGCAAATAAAGTCCGGCCAAATCCTATCCTTGAGGCCATATATGAAATGCCCAACCTTGTTAGAAGCAACCGAGAACCGAAATGTTCTCCCATCAAAAGCCCGAGGAGGAGAAGTGAATCGTGGAGCCAAACCGTTGACGCACCTGATCCAAAACTGCAAGACCGGGGGAGAAGTCCCAATGGAGAAGGCCCTCCATCGGCTCCAAGATTAGAGATCACCAGTGTAGCTAGGTGGAGGTGGGGTGTTGGTGGGGGTGGGGGTGGGAGATCGCCATTGTAGCTATGGTGCATTTTTATGCATGATGGTGATTATTTGCATGTGCATCATACTTGGAAAAGGAAAGGTCCAAATCCATTTGCAATATTGCAATCTACTGCTCTATGCGCAACTATGCTTGTGACACTTACAGGATTTGGTTTTCTTGTTTTTCATATTTACTCCCTCTGTTAAAGAGCGTTTTTGACTCTTATATGGGACGAAGGGAGTACTAAATTCAGTTAATTTTTTTTAACAGAATCCAGTTCGTTTTCCCTATAAACACTCAACACAGCAAATGTTTCAGTTTGATGCCTGATCTGCCAGCGGTTGCGCACAAGACAAGACGATAAAATCCATCTGGCCGAGATAAGAAAAAAAAAACTCGTGGCCAGTCAGCCGCCGTCCGATCAGAAACCAACGCCCGCGATCGCTTGATCCAGCGTCCCGTGCCGCTGCGCGCGGGCCTCGTCGGCGTCTTCTCCCCCCTCGTCTCCACCTCCCCGTGCTCGTTCACGCTGCCTGTTCCTCGAACCGCCGCGGCGTCACGTCACAGCCACGGGACACGTTGCCTGAGGAGGGGGGAGCCGGAGGCCGGCGAGGCAGAGGAGGGCGCGCGGGGGAGAGATGATCTCGCAGTTCTTCGTGCTGTCGCAGCGCGGCGACCACATCGTCTTCCGCGACTGTAAGATCTGGATCCTGCCCCCTCGTTCCATTCGCAGAATTTGTCGTGACCTGCCGCTGATTTGGGGTGGGGATGTTGGCGGGTGGGCGGGATGCAGATCGCGGCGAGGTGCCCAAGGGCAGCGCGGAGATCTTCTTCCGGAAGGTCAAGTTCTGGAACGAGGACGAGGCCGAGGAGGCGCCTCCAGTGTTCGTATGCATCTGCTCCCCTCTCCCTGCTTGCCTCTTGTTATTCATACTGGGCAATCTGATAAACCATCCTAATTTCGAGGTTTTTGGGTGCTGAGTTGTGGTGTTACGTTGAAGTGATAGGCTGATTAGCTATGTTTATTATGGGTTGTCGAATATGTGTTGAGAAGCTTAATAGCATCACCGACTTCCAGATAGAACGTGAGCTTACAGATCGCTGGTTCTGTTTGGAATCATTGTGCGTCCAATATGTTAATTCCTTTCACGATAATTGAGCATTTGGTTAGGTGCATAGGGTGCATCTGCATTCCTGTGTAAGTAGTTCCTAAGGCAAATGCTTTAGATGGACTGAGAAAATAAAATGATTAGTCCCTCCTCCAGCAACTCTTCAACTGTGTAGGAGGTCTGGGAAGTGGGGACTAAGCTCATCAGGAAGGAAGCTTTTAGTGCATGTTCTCCATTATGGTTCTTTTGGTAGTGAGAAGGTTTATAACATGATGCATTGTTAGTTCCATATCAAATGCGCATGAAGCTTGCCTTGGAGGATCTGCTTGATAAAGTGAAGGAGTGAGTGTTACCTATGTGTATGGAAGAGACAACAATGATTGCATTCCTCTGTCTGTCGATTCACCCATTTCTTTGCCACTTGATCTGATATGTGGCATTTTCTACATTTTGTAAATGACAGAATATCGATGGGGTTAATTATGTCCATGTCAAAGTCGCGGGATTATTTTTTGTGGTAACCACAATGGTCAATATCTCGCCGTCGCTTCTCTTGGAACTTCTGCAAAGGATCGCACGTGTTACCAAAGACTATCTCGGTGTTCTAAATGAAGATTCCCTGAGGAAGAATTTCATTTTAGTGTACGAGTTGCTTGATGAAGTTATCGTAAGTACCCCGCAGTCCACACTACCTTTCTTCATACAATATTAACCGCAACCTGTTCTGACCATGTTTTTGGTCCACTAGCAAATTTTAATGTGTGTTTATCAAGCAGTTGGTGTGGTTTTGAAGTGGCTAATGTGATTCATCTGTTTAGGACAAAACACAATGTTATCATCTTCTGGTAGAACTATGTCATTATTTATGTGTTGAATTGTGTAATTAGGACTTCGGATACCCACAAACAACTTCTACCGAGGCTCTGAAGTCGTACATATTTAATGAGCCAATCATGGTTGATGCTGGACGGTTGCCACCACTTGGTCCTGCTGCTATGTTCATGGTAAAACCTCTCCCTATTATCCCAAGAAAACATGGCTTTAGGGTCTCACTTGACCAAGCAGTGTGCTGCTCACCATTTTACTCTGTTAATCTCATAGTTTCATTTGACAAATTGTCTAATGCAGCAAGGCACAAAGCGGATGCCGGGTACAGCTGTGACAAAATCAGTTGTTGCTAATGAGCCAGGTGGGAAAAAGAGGGAGGAAATTTTTGTTGATATCATTGAGAAAATAAGTGTGACATTCAGCTCTAGTGTAAGTTCTGATATACACATGCCTTGTTGCTGTTTTTCCTTTTCTTCTTCCTGACCTGAAATCTCAAACATGTTGCTGTTCTGTAGTATTAATAGTGATTACTAAGTAGTTCAACTTGCTGCACGTAGTTAGTTGATTTGCCTTACTGTCAAAATTTGCTCCTTTATTATTCAGTTTCTTATCCCACTAGTATCTCCGCGTTTACAACTTAAAATTGGACATGCATAAGATGCTATGTTGTTGCCCCTTACTGTAAAATTCCAAATCAATGGGATAGGGACCATATTACCTTTTGGTTCTGAATAGCTCGAATGGGATATTTGCACTTTGTGAGGCACCACATATTATCAACCTACTCCTGAGTAGTTAAATGGCAGTTCCTTTTGTTTGTCTTGTGTCATATAACTAGGATGAATACATGCTTTGTTCTAATGCAACACTAGTACTTCCATGTACTTACTACCTTCTATCTGAAATTTCATTATACAGGGTTATATACTTACCTCTGAGATTGATGGAACCATCCAAATGAAAAGTTACCTTAGTGGAAATCCAGAAATCCGCCTAGCTCTGAATGAGGATTTAGGCATTGGAAAGAATAGCTCTTCTACACATGGTATGTCTGTTAACTTTTCTTCCTTTATTACCCAACTTAGGAAAATGGTGTACTACTATTTTTGTGGACTTCCGGATATCTATAAACATGACCTGAATTTTATGTTTCTTCACTGTTCTTTGATTTTGTGCTCATAGTGTTGAAAACGTGTTACATTTTTTGCTTGATGGGTTATTCAATGGGTACATTCAACCATTAATGTCAGTGGAGTCCTTCTATTTGCATTTTGTCTTATCGTACAATTCCTATCTTCAGTTCTTCACCAAAAAAACTTTTTACCACTTGAACAAAGTGAGTTTGATGTGCTGTTGCTATCATGTAAATTTGATCTGCTTACCATCATTTTATTTTCTTACATCTTATGGATTAACAATACTACAAATGCTTGATACCAGATTACAGAAGTTCTTCTGGAGGAGGATCAGTTGTTCTTGATGATTGTAACTTCCATGAGTCAGTGCAGCTTGACAGTTTTGACATTGACAGAACTCTGCATTTAGTAAGTACTACTGATATGAATTTCTTCCTTTTTTTTCTCCAAATAAGCACAGCAGCAAAATTTTACAATCATATTTACCAATGAGCAGATACCACCTGATGGAGAATTTCCAGTGATGAACTACCGGATGACTCAAGAATTTAAGCCGCCCTTCCGTGTCACCGCACTAATTGAAGAAGCTGGTCCATCTCGGGTAAGGTATTTTGTGTTTTTGAGGCTGATAAATTAATATTTCTACATTGGTGTATCTCCATTCAAGATCTTGATTTATGTTACACAGGCTGAAGTTCTATTGAAAATACGGGCAGACTTTCCTGCGAATGTGACTGCCAACACAATCACAGTACAAATGCCAGTGCCCTCTTACACAATGAGGTCAGTTGCAGATTTATTTTGTTCTTTTTAGTTGATACAAAGCGAAACATTATCTTCTTCTTCTGATGCGTTATGGATTACTTTGTAGGGCAAGTTTTGAACTGGAAGCTGGAGCAGTTGGACAGACAACGGATTTTAAAGAAGGAACTAGGAGACTGGAGTGGAATCTAAAGAAGGCAAGTTCCAAAAAGGATTTAATTTTTTCTTTGATCTTGTTTGAGCTCTATTATATGCACGCCCTATTTGAAGATGATTACATGCAATGCAAACCTGAATTCGTTAGCCAATTTGCTGTGCTTTGCTGAACAATTTTAACTTTTGGCAGATTGTTGGCGGTTCTGAGCATACCCTTCGTGCAAAACTCACATTTTCCCAGGAGTCACATGGTATGCATTTGTCTTTGGCATGCCTTGTCTATGCTCTGAGTGGCTTGCCTGCTATACTGCATTTTTTGTGACACGCATCTTTCTGGAATGCAGGAAATCTCACAAAGGAAGCCGGGCCAGTAAACATGAATTTCACTATACCTATGTACAATGCTTCAAAGTTGCAGGTAAGACCATCTGCTGCCAAGTATGCGATCTTTGTGCTAGATACATCCGTTTGAGCGACAAGTAGGTAGTATGATTTAGCTGTTCTGTTATTAGGTGTGTTTGAACAGCTAGTTGCTCCATGTAGCTTTTATGCTTCCTGAACACGACTGAACTGTTCCCTTCGCCTCTGCAGGTCAGATATCTTCAGATAGCGAAGAAATCCAAAACATACAATCCATACAGGTGGGTGAGATATGTGACGCAGGCCAACTCGTATGTAGCTCGTCTATGAGGACATTGTACAATTCCAAAGGCATTTCCCACCTGTTCCTTGTGCAATTATCTTGGACCGACTTGAAGCTTGGACAGAGTGACATGTATTGTAACTCTATAGTGGGATCCCAACATCACTCTGCTCCTCTAGCTTAACTTTCTTTTAGTGTCATATTTTCCTTCTGCGATATGCGGAATATACATGATGGTGTTTGTATTCTGAGAAATGAATAAATTTCTTGTTCATCTGGCAATTACAAACTGAAACTGTCTCACTTCGGAAATGCATTCTTTTTCTGTGGACAAAACTAGACGTACTCCCTCTCACAAATATATAATGTTTTAGATATTTCAATATGGACTACATACGGACCAAAATGAGTGAACAAACACACCAAAGCATGTCTATACAAATGATTCAGAAAAAAGCTAAAACATCTCGTATTTGTGAACAGAGGGAGTACTCACTCAGCATGTTCATGCTTCAAGAATATGTACATACGGACTGAAACGAGTGAACAAACACACCAAAACATATCTATATACAAATGATTCAGAAAAGAGCTAAAACATCTTATATCTGTGAACACCAAAACATATCTATATACAAATGATTCAGAAAAGAGCTAAAACATCCTTATACTTGTGAATGGTGGGAGTACAAAGCACATGCTCAACATTGCCACCCAGCATGTAATCATGCTTCAAGAAAAAGGAAGATCATATGAACACGAATCTGGACGAGTAACACAATCGTTTCTGGCATCGCTACAACAGAATTCCTACTGCAAGTACTGCTCCAAGAGCCACATCTAAGGCATTTTGTTCTGGGGCTATAGCCGAGTGAGGATGACGATGGGCTTCAACTGATCATGACATTGTACTAAAGTGCGTATACACGAGATCAACGACATCAGCCAGCGTCCTCAAATGCTTTGTGCTTCTGAAAATCAAAGGTGCCAGAGTTTGAGTCATGGTGCTAAATCTTCGCATATGTGTTGGTGCGTGCCCTCAGCCTCGGTGCGCCTGCCCTTTCCCATTTCTTCTACCAACCACTCGATACCCAGTTTGATCCCCGTCCTGCCATAAAGGTCATAAAACCAAAGAGGTCTGCACACCTTTATTCATGTCTACTGGTCAAGAAGCAAAGACTTCCAAGTGGCTAGTTCAATGATATCCTTGACTATTACACATTCATAGAAGAAAAAAATATTAAGCGATGTATATTTAAATAAGAATGAGTTAAGCGGTGCAGTTGCCAGCCTAAACTGAATCACTGAATCTCCATCTTGTGAAGAAATTAGTAGAAATATGCATAATAATGGATCATCTTTCAGTATGAGGCAAATAAGCTTGGGAAAGGTATTGCTCTACTTACCCATCAAACGCAGATCCCGCCACAAACATATATGGCCTCTCGTCAAACTCTTTAAGGTGAAGATGTCTGTCCAATTCTTCTTCTCTGACAGCTGCTGGTAAATCCTGTTGAGAGGAGCATCCAAACATGAAAATACAAGAGGCATGAGGAAAATGGCTAAAAGCAACATATCAAGATGAAATGAACTTGCAGAGGACTCAAAGGAATAATATGGACAACAACAACAACAACAACAACAACAACAAAGCCTTTCAGTCCCAAACAAGTTGGGGTAGGCTAGAGTTGAAACCCATAAGATATAGAAACCAAGTCATGGTTCTGGCACGTGGATAGCTAATTTCCACACACCCCGGTCCATGGCTAAATCTTTGGTGATACTCCAGTCCTTCAAGGAATAAGATGGACAATTATTTATTTCCACAACATGTCTCTCGTCTTCAAAATGTGAATATCATCAAGGACGATAAGAATGCGTCAATTCTTGAACAACTTCAGTTATGCGCATGCACATGGTTAAAGTATGTTTCTCGTCTTCCATACTCTGAGCTCTACATGATGTGTATTCAAAACCTAGGGAGCATGGAAATTGACATCCTCTGACACTTAAACAGCTGTAGGTTGGTTTACAGCTGTGCATTGTATGCACATGGAAAGGAATTTTCCCAGAAGTACCAATTTTCATCCAAGCAATTGCAGTTTTCAGTTCAGAGTGAAAGCATCGAGTTTTGTAAGGTAATTTAAGTATAGTGTATAGAACTCAACCTGTTTGTTGGCAAATATGAGTAGTGGCGCCTCTTGCAGATCCTCGTGACGAAGTACTTTCTCTGCAACAAAAATGTTTGAGTCACCATTCACTCCAGTAATGATCCTAACTTTTCCAGACCTATGAAAGACTTTACTAGAACATACAGTTACATCACAAGTTACACGAATGTTTTGTGACGAAAGAAACAGAAGCAACTTACCAAGAGCAGATTTGGCATCTTCAAATGTCGATGCGGAGGCAGAGTCGATAACATATACTATAGCATGAGCCTCGTCATAATATTTCTCCCATATAGTTCTTAGGCCAGGCTGTCAAAAACATGTAATTAGCATTAGAATTTGCAATGTCTAGAAAAAGAATGCTATCTACATTGTAGGCTTCGTGGAATTTTGGAATGAAGTTTATTTTGCCTGTTAGCTTTCACAAAGTGAAGGTCATAACTACAGTTTAGTATGCTTCCTTAAGCAAAACTTAAACCACATAATGGGAAAGGTCTAACTTGTCAATTCAGTATTACCAAAGCTTATGTTCTTAAAAGGCTGAAAGTACATCAGACAGCAGTAGTAGTAAGAGAGAACCTTCCATAAAAATATTAGGTACATGATCACGAACGTAGACCAGGATCTCTGTAGTATCAAGTATAAGGTCTTACTTAAGATAAGCATTTGCTGCAGTTTTGCCATAAACGTGAAAAAACTTATAAACATGATGGTTACATGCCTTCAGTATAAGCATCAACTCTAATGTTCAACTAATTTGCATGTCCAGAGGAAACTTTTGAGGCTTCTAAATAAGGGATGAAAAGTTGAAAACTGACCGACAATTGTCACTTATCTAATCCAGGTACTTTGGTTGCAAAATGAAGTGTATTCTATCTCCAGGTATTAAAGTAAGATCATAAAAAAAAGAAAGTACAAATGCATTGATCTTAACATCAATTAGTTCCTTTTTTTTCCTTACATGGGAATGGGATCTTTATTGGTCAGCTAAAGGTTTAGAAAGCAGTGAAATGCAATCCATTAACCAGTGCAACCAAGCATTAGTGTATTGTCCGGTTCTAGCAAAATTAGATACAACATGTGCAGCTCTACTATGGTTGCAATTAATCTTCTCGAGCAAGATCTCTCTATTTCCAGATTTCATGATTTTGATCTCCGTTAATGAAAATGGAGGCCGGAGAATTAGCAAATATCAACCTATCTTTGATGAAATTAAAATAGTCCTGAATGACGAATGGAGAAATTTCATAGAATAGCTTGTCGGCCACAAATTTTGGTCAATAGCACAAGAAACCATACCTGACCTCCCAGATCCCAGAAAACAAGTTTTACATTTGCATCTTCAATACGTCTAATATTAAGCCCCACAGTTGGACCAATACGATCATGTGGAAGCCCTTCTCCTTTCAAATAGATTGACTTCAACTTTTCTAGCAAGGTCTGCATATTCATTACTGGAAGCATGCCAACTTTTGGTATGAATCTAATAAAATAGAGTACAAATAGAGTCAATCCTCAACAGAGGGACGCTGACACGATAAGGGAGATAGCTGGCTCAATACTTCATACATGTAAACATAAGTTTGAGATGAATTTACCGTCTTCCCAGCCTTATGGACTCCAAGGATGAGCACACGGAACTCTGTCTTGCTGAACACATGGTTCCATAGGCCATGTAGCAAGGAGAACATTGCTGGTATTCCCCACTTCCCAATCAGATACCAGCTTATTGTTGTGCAGGCCATCCCTGAAACTGAAACAAACCAATGCGCATCAAATCGGCGGCGGCGCGAACAAAAACTATCAAGGAGAAGAGGGTAAAACATGCAAATCACGGCGCGAAGGAGAAGATCTGGGTCGCTCACCGGAGAAGGAGGCGGCGCGCGGCGATCAGATCGCTTCGCCCCCTCGCCGACGTCGCCGTCGCGCGCGGTCGGTCGGTCGGTCGTTCGCCTCGCTCGTCCCCGGCAAGCACTGGAGCCGAGAATGCGCGACTTGTTCTCACAGCACAGTTTTTTTTTTTGACGGGGTGTTCTCGCAGCACTGGAGCGTTGACATTACTCCCCAAAGTCGCATGGGCTACAAATACACAGTGCCTTAAGCCCAGATGAACCCAGCCGGCCCAGTAATCGCGGAGTCGTCACAAAGACCTGTAACCCCGGCCCACGTCTTCTTCTGCTCTTCCTCCCCGCAACTCGGCAGTTTCAGCGCAGTGCACTCGGCAGCCAGGACCAACGACGCGGCGACGACGGCGAGCGTGACCGCGAGCGCGCCAAGTCTCCCTACAGATCCGCGCGGCGGCCGGCAAGGTGCGGTCCTCTCCCTCCGTCTCACCTGCTCTCTTCTCTCAGATCGCACAGCAAATTTTTGCTCGCGCGAAGAGTTCCTGCCCATCACGCCGCAGCTTCTTCTGTCTTCCTCGTCGTGGTATCCGGCAGATCCGTTCGATTTGGGGCGGGATCCGTAGTGGAGTCACAAGGGGGTGACTGAGTGACGCGGCTCCTCTGCCGCGATCTCGTGGCTGGATCAGCTTTGCATCCCGTGAGATCTCGTTCGATTTGATTCCGGAATTCCGGCAGGAAATGGCTCGGGCTCAGTCCACTCTGCCCCTTTTGTTGGATTTTGTTCGTAGGTTTAGGGTAATTGTTATGGTGCTCTTTGGAGGATCACCCGGTGGGTGTGGCATGCCATAGGTGAGTGAACGTAATCCGCTTGGTCAGGTTCAGGCGCCAGATGCAGTAGCCTGATATCCTTTTAGGATGAATTTTTAAAGTAATTCTCCGGTTTTAGCCGTAAGAAGATTATGCAACCCACGGAGCAGATTAAGCTATGTTGAGTGAACAGCTCAGGAGCTGAATTTGTACATGTTGATAGATAATATGATCACACAAACCCTTGCATACAAGAAGAGTTCTCTTGGCAGTAGAAACTTGGGAAGGGTAATGAAGATATGAAGACCCATGAATTGGTGCACCCGGAAGACCGTGTTATGTGTGTTTCTCTGTATAGCTATCATTGCACGTTTCCTACATGTTCTATTACACTGCAGAGATAGTGCTCTTGTACAGCAGTTAACTAAATTTCACCTTCATTCATGTGTTGCACTGGATCTGGTTATCGAAATTTTGTTTCTGTTATCTTCCATCTTTCTGTCTTGCTTTCATTTGAAACTTTCTCTAGATATTGGTAGCCCTGAATTATTAGATTTTGCAGCATGCCCACAGTAGTGCAGGTTCAGTCGCACCATCTTATGTAATCTAGCTCTATACATCAGTAGCAGTATGCTCTTCATAGCTCTACACCACTAAAAGTTTATCTAGCTAGTCTCCCATCTTCCACGACTCATCCCTGAACTACAGTAGGCATAGGACACCCTTCCCATGTCAGGTACATGGATGGCCTAATTTGTATTTTGGACATGCAAGGTTCCTTAATCAATGCATATCATGATAAAAGTGGACTGCACTTAACCCCAGTTTATTTGCTATTCCTACGTATCTTTTTGGAGAAAGTGGAGTCAGAGTGATGCTGACTTGGTGACATCCCAATCTGTCATCAAATTAGATTTGTTGGAACATGCCCCAGAGCTCAGAGATCTTTGTTTGGAATTATCAGGACCATATGATGGTTAAGCAGGGCTTTGCCACATGTTTGACTTGCTGCGTTTTGTATTGACAACCTATCACCATAATCCTATAGTAGCTTCTTGCTGCTTCTTGCCCTCCTTTCCGACACTACACACACAACTCGTTTATAACCTCTGTTTGTATGTTGTACTTTAGCCTTTGCTTCCATGGCATATACTTCTGACAAGTGGCAACCAGTAGATTTGATTATCATCATGGATTGCCTGTTTTCACATCTTAACTATCCTTTGTTTGCCAATGTTTTCTGCAGATGTTTGACGATCAAGACTTGGGTTTCTTCACCAACTTCCTGGGGATCTTCATCTTTGTGTTGGTCATCGCGTACCACTTTGTGATGGCAGACCCGAAGTATGAGAACTGATCGCCTTTTGTTTAGCAATGAGACCGTATTATACTCGGAGCAAATAGGGAAATGTGTCGGTTAATGGTAACAGAGCGCTTGACAGATCTTCTTAAGTGCAATTACCTGGCATTGTGACTTGAATCATGTTTAATCTGTTGAACAAGTGAACTGTGGAGATTTCAAAAGATTGATTTACTATCTGCCTATGTTGTACCCTGCTTGTTATTTGCTGTTTGATGATGTGATCTGTATTGCCTTTTGGGTTGCAAAATTCTCGTATCTGGGACTTGAATCCCCTAGCTTCATTTTTGCTATGTTCTTCAACGATATAACTATTTTATCTAATCAACAAAGCTTGCCGGATGGCATTCCATAAAAATGAAAAGATAATATGCACTGGAACCTTGTCGATGAAGCAGGTTTGTCTTCTTCACCTTGTTTTACCCATGCCAAGGCCATACACCTATGGGTTGACGGTGCACAAATCACAATTACATGTGCTTTGTTTTTCCTGCCATTTATCAGTCTTCTGTATTCAGAGAATGGAAGTTGTTAAGATTTTGGATTGTGCTTAAGCAAACCTTTTTCTATGGTGCTAGAAAAAATGAACCGTTCAATTGTCCTGGGGTCTGTCTGGATGGACGTGAAGGGGGCATCCGTGGAATTGACGGTACAGCATGTTTGAAAAAATGACCACTGTGGGTTATTTTAGTTCCATTGTTACAACAAACACCAGCAAGACAAAATGGCAAAATGTTGTCATAACTCTTGCATGAAATATACTCTGAGAAGCAAAATTTATCTCAATTCTTGCAACAAGAAATATGCTGATAAACAGCCACAGAAAAATCTAACACTCTTGACTGCAGTACATGTGTTTGGCCGAATAAGGCATTATTCTACTCCCGTCTTCATATAATAATGAATTGTTCTGCAAACCCGCTACTAAGAAATACTATTTAGTTGCAAAGATAAAAAAGAAATGCAAACTAACAACTTCAAATACTTGTGAACCAGATAAGCGAATGACATAAGCTCTCACCCCGGACATTATCAAAAAGAAAAGAAAAAACGTCTCACCCCGAACTGAAGAAAGAACTAGATGCTTCTGAATGAGATTTATCATCCATATGAATGGCGAAAGGTTGAAAACTAGAGACAAGTGGTTGGATTTCTTCTTCGCTCCTTTGAACAGCATGACATGAGGCCAACCTTTTTGTTCGCAAATATTGTAATGTACTCTCCACTTGCTTCATAGTAGGCCTTTCTTCTCCCTTGAGACGCAAACACGACTCCGCAAGAGAGGCAATGATACAAATTTCATCCTCGCTTGCTTCTTCAAGAACTTGAGTGGCTACCACCTCTCTTACTGACTTTGTTTTAATCTCTGTAATGAAGTAGATGGACAAGTTTTGCTTTGAACCTGCATTACTTCTAAAAACAGGCTCTTTTCTTGTAAGTAACTCTATGAGTACCACACCAAAACTATACACATCGCTTTTCTCATTTAGTTGCCCAGTTTGATAATACTCTGGATCCAGGTATCCGAATGTTCCTTGTACATTTGTGGTAACATGAGTTTGGTCAATAGGAACTGTTCTTGAAGCACCAAAATCTGAAACTTTAGCGGTGAAATTTCCATCTAACAAGATATTCGAGGACTTCACATCACGATGAAAGACCGATATCGAGGCAGATGTATGTAGATAACAGAGAGCTCCAGCAGTTTCTTGAGCAACCCTCAAACAATCATCCCAGGATAAACATAGTCTACCAGTTGGCTCACCATGCAAAACATCAAATAGAGAGCCATTAGGGATAAAATCAGATACTAAGAGCGGCACTTCTGTTTCAAGACAACATCCAAAGAGCTTTACGATATTTCGGTGATTTATCTGGGAGAGGATTACAACCTCATTAATAAACTGATTGATCTCAGATTCCTCAACAAGTTTTGACTTTTTTATAGCCACCACACGTTGGTCTCATAAGATGCCTTTGTATACCATGCCATGTCCTCCACGGCCTACAATACGAGTTTCATCAAAGTTGTTTGTTGCCTTCTCCAACTCCTCTAAGGAGAAAATCATTGTTCTATCACTTGCATTTTCATCTGATAATATGAGTTGTTCCAATAGAAGGCCTTGGTTTTTCTGGAAATAAAGCCTGCGCTGTTGTTTTTTGACACATCTTTTCCATCGATAGGAGATGGACATTCCACTCAAGCCAAGAAGTAGCATTCCAAAGCCCGCACCCAGCCCAATGGTAACACCTATGTAAAACCATATGCCAATAAGCTTATTGTCATTTTCATATACTCCATAATAATTGAAAGGTAGGTACCTATGACGAGAGTTTTCTTTTTGGTAGTGGTGCACTGCATTTTTTTGGGATCATATTTTGTTCTCGGAGGACAACAGATGAAGTCTCCAATGATATTGTGGCACGTCCCTTCACAATTTTTTGGGTCAAGGCACTCATCGACATCTGCAAAATGAGGCACATCTTGGTAAGGTGCACAAGCAAAACAATATCAAAGAAAAACATTATTTTCCCAAGGTAATACATATGTTCTTGTCTTCTTGACAAGATTAGGAGATTTGAATCAGAATATTAGCCATGTCATGTGGCAGAAGACTAGCTGTCGTAGAACTTGGGCGGGTAATATATTGGCTATCATACCTAGAACGATGGCTGACTAAAACACGACTGCAAGCAATAACACGTGCATATCGTCAGCCTTTTTCATGGAACCGACATTTCCAGTTCTACTGGTAGCTAAATAACCATTTTTCGAGGAAGATAGCCAGACAACTAGGTACCTATAATCTGACTCAATTTTTTTTCTTTTTTGTCTGAATAATCTGACTCTAATTCTAAGATTGCCTATGAGCCACGCAGACTGTTTGATATATAATTTTAACCGCTGAGGTCACGCCTTTTCCCCGAAAAGGAGGATAACTCCTTTGGGCATATTTAACATGGTCATAGTTCCTGAAATAATGTATAACATTTTCACCTTCGTGAAGCCATTGACCTATCTTACAACGACTCCAATGCAGAACGTCAACATTTTTTTATTGTAGTGCAAATTGTGGGCTTTGATTGGGGGTTAGGAAAAAGATTATCGTAGTGCAAATTGTGGGCTTTGAGGGATTAGGTTTACCCTTTTAAAATGCATAGTGATCTTTTGGGGTCGAAATTTGCTTAATTCCATGGACCACCACCAACATAAGGATTTTACATGCCTTTTTAAAAATCGCTTTAAAGAGAGGCTATAGGGCTCTTGATGGTGAGGTGCCATAATTTACATTAAAGGGGAGTCTACGGTTGTAATGGCAGGTTTAGTGTTTGTACATTAGTCCGTAGTCTCTCAAAACCACATCCTGAATTAACTCAATTAAATCAAATCTTATAAAAACCCCAACTAAATCAAAACTTTCCTTGCTTCCCGTACACTATCCAAATCAAATTGAATCTTACAAAAACCTCACCTAAATCAAAACATTCATTGCCTTCACTAACCATACTCAAATAAAATCAAATCTTACCAAAATCCAAAATATGGTGGGTGTAAGGTATATGTCGGACACGATTGATGTTTTTTTTTTGTGTGTGGGAAAATTCTAATCTATTCATCAAACATCATGGTAGTAAGAACACCAGATAAATAAATTATATTATGTTTGTAGACCACCAGTGATGACTATAAGCACTGATGCGAGTCAAAGGCGCGCCGCCGTCATCACCCCTCCCTATCGGAGTCGGGCAAACCTTATTGTAGTAGATAGCCGGGAAGTCGTCATGCTAAGGCCCCAAAGGACCAGCGCACCAGAATGACAACTGTTGCCGATGAAGAGAACCATAGATCCAGATAATCCAATATGTAGGCACACATAAGCGGATGAATGAAGACCAAACACCAAACAGATCCATCGAAGACAAACACCAAACATATCCCGTAAAATCCGCCGGAGACACACCTCCACACACCCTCCAATGACACTAGACACGCCACTAGAACAGAGGCTAGGCGGGGAGAACCTTATTCCATCTTTTGGGAGTCGTCATTGTCTGAAAGCACAAGTGCTCCTTGGGTGATTTTGGTAATTAATGTCAACATATCTCTTGTTGGACTAATATTTTTATCTAGTATATTTCAGATGAGTTCAACAATGGCGTGGTAAGGACAAGAGGATGTGGAACCCCTCAAAATGCTAAGGACAAAGATTGGCAAAAGCTCAAGACTCTTCATTTATATTTTAGTGATCCAAGATCACATTGAGTCCATAGGAATACTATTAAAAGGGGATGAGGTGTTGCTTAATGGTCTACTTGCTCAAAGTGCTTAGTGATATTGCTCCAAAGCCCTCAACCACTTTCTCATTTCCAAATATGTCCAAAACTCAAAGTCAAACTCGGCCCCACTGAAATGATCCATCCGGCGCCACCGAGTTCATTTGACATAGCCACTGCCAGAAACCCTAGCAATTCGGTTACACCGATACGGATCTCGGTCTCACCGAGATGGCCCTGCAAACTCTATGTTTCCCTTCGTAACATTTTAGTCTCACCGAAATGAGCAGTCGGTACCACCGAGTTTGCTTGACCAACTCTCTGTTTGCTCTTTGCTAAAATCGGTCTCACCAAGTTCAAGCAATCGGCTTCACCGGGATGAGGTTTTGCCCTAGCCCTAGCACATTGGTCACACCGAGTTGTTCCAGTCAGTTCCGCCGAGATTCCTAACATTCACATTTTGAACTGAATCAGTCTCACCGAGTTCTTCTATTCGGTCTGACCGATTTGGGTCAAATGTGTGTAACGATTGGATTTTGTGTGGAGGCTATATATACCCCTCCACCTTCTTCTCCATTTGTGAGAGAGCAATCATAATGTGCCTGTACTTCCATTACTCATTTTCTGAGAGAGAATCACCTACTCATGTGTTGAGACCAAGATATTCCATTCCTACCACAAGAATCTTGATCTCTAGCCTTCCCCAAGTTGCTTTTCACTCAAATCATCTTTCCACCCTAGCCAAATCTGTGAGAGAGAGTTGAGTGTTTGGGAGACTATCATTTGAAGTACAATAGCAAGGATTTCATCATCAATGCACCATCTACTACTTTTTGGAGAGTGGTGTCTCCTAGATTGGTTAGGTGTCACTTGGGAGCCTCTAACAAGATTGTGGAGTTGAACCAAGAAGTTTGTAAGGGCAAGGAGATCGTCTACTTCGTGAAGATCTACCCGAGTGAGGCAAGTCCTTCATGGGCGATGGCCATGGTGGAATAGACAAGGTTGCTTCTTCGTGGACCCTTTGTGGGTGGAGCCCTCCATGGACTCGCGCAACCGTTGCCCTTCGTGGGTTGAAGTCTCCATCAACGTGGATGTACGATAGCACCACCTATCGTAACCATGCCAAAAATCTCTATGTCTTCATTGAGTTTGCACACTCCAATCCCATCCCTTTACTTTCTTGCAATTAGCATGCTTTACTCTTTTCGCTGCTCATACTCTTGCCATGCTTGCTTGAAATGTATTGTGAATGCTTAAACTTGTGCTAAAACTCCACCTCAACTTGAAGAACTTAAAAATTGCCACTTGTACTTGTTGAGGGTCTAATCACCCCCCTCTAGACCCCTCTTCTCGATCCTTTCAATTGGTATCAGAGCATTAGTCTCTAGTTTAATCACCATTAGAGGAAGATGGATGACTCTACGATTGGGAGTATTAGACGTAGAGTGCCTATGCTTGACGGAGAGTTCTATAATGCTTGGAAAAATGAGGTGCTTGAGATTTTCAATGAATATAATTTGAGCAAGTATATTACTAGTCCTTGTGCGCCTTCTATTGATCCCTTGCATCCTACCCCCGATGAGTATCTTGACATGACCCGCAATCTTAGAACTATTGATCTTACCATGAGAGGATTTCCTAGAAATTTGCTTGTATTCTTACCTACATTTGAATGTGCTTATACTATATGGAGATACCTTGAGGAGCGGTTTCCAAACTATTCCTTGAAAAATCTAGATGATATTCCTCAAAAGTCCATTGCTTTTCATAAAATGAATCCTAGTGATCCTAAATTTGATGATTGTCTATTTGAGCTTCGTGACCTTATGTGTGCCAAAGGAGATGTTGGAGTCATTAGTAGTATCATTTCACAAGTCATTAGAGTTCATAAAGATGCACATTGTCATGGTCATAAATCTAATGAATCACTCTCTCTAGGTGATGATCAATAACATGATGATGTTGAACATGGATATTATGATGAGGATGATGATAGTGACTTTGATCTTGATGAGTCAATGAGACACTTTGGTCTTATGGCTAACCTTTATGGTTACATCGCCGGAGGAAAGGAATGGGTTCTTGATAGTGGATGTACCGATCACATGACCGGAGACAAGGACATGTTTCGTGAGCTTGCTGAAAATGATGGTCCCCGAAAGTATGTCACTTTTGGTGACAACTCAAAGGTAAGGTAGTTGGCCTCGGTAAGGTGGCCATCTCACATGATAGCTCCATCCAAAATGTTATGCTCGTTGAATCTCTTGGTTACAATGTACTTTCCATATCTAGACTAGCCGATTTCGGTTTCAATGTTCTATTCAGTGAAGTAGATTGCCAAGTATTTCATAGAGATAATCATAATATGGTCTTCACCGATATACATAGAGGTGATCTATACATTGTTGATTTCACTAAGAGAGCTCAACCTCAAACTTGCTTAATTGCTAAATCTTCTAAAGGTTGGTTATGGCATAGAAGGTTAGGTCACATGGGCATGCAAAATCTTGATAAGCTTATCAAAGGTGCTCACATCCTTGGTGTTAAAGATGTTATATTTGAAAAGGATAGACTTTATAGTGCTTGTCAAGCAGGAAAACAAGTTGGAGGAAGACATCCCGTGAAGAACATCATGACCACGAGAAGACCGCTTGAGCTACTTCATATGGATCTTTCTGGTCCCAACGCCTACAAGAGTCTTGGTGGTAACTCGTTTGATTTGGTCATTGTTGACGACTTTTCAAGATTTACGTGGGTGTTCTTTCTTGATGATAAGTCATAGGTCCAAAAGATCTTCAAGAACTTCGCTAGGAAGGCCCAAAATCAATTTGAAGTGAAGATCAAGAAGGTTCGAAGCGACAATGGAACATAGTTCAAGAACGCCAATCTGGATACCTTTCTTGACGAAGAAGGGATTTCACATGAGTTCTCGGCTACGTACACACCTCAACAAAATGGAGTTATTGAGAGGAAGAACTGGACACTTATTGAGATGGCAAGAATGATGCTTGATGCATACAAGACGCCAAGACACTTTTGGGCGGAAGCGGTTGAGACAGCTTGTCATGCTACAAATAGACTATATCTTCACAAGCTTCTCGGAAATATGGCATACGAGCTTCTCACCGGTAACAAACCCCAAGTTGGATACTTCTGAGTATTTGGCTCAAAGTGTTACATTCTTGATAAGC